CAGTGCGCCAGCTGGAATGGTGAGAGTGTGGCGGGCCCGCCCCAAGGTGCCAGTCTTGGGCGGTGTCCAATTGCCTCCCAACTCGATGACTGTGCAAGTGAATTACGAAAAGACACTCTGGCAAATGAATTACGAAAAGACACTCTGGCTAACTCTACATAGTCAATATAAGTATGTAGCTTAGGACGCGCAGCGGTTCGCCAGAAGGAGCCGACGAAGAGAGAGCTGTCCGGTTGAGGGGAATAACCCCTCACCAAATTAGCAGCTGCACTGACGTTATTGACGAACAGGAGGATGGAGCGTTCGCAGGTGCGGGGCTCTCAGAGGTCCAAGGCCCAGAGGGGTGCGACGAGTTCGAGTTTCCAAAATAGGATTTTCTCGGTCTCCACGACTGCACCCTGGTTTGGGGAACCTCCTGCGTGAGTAGTGCAACTGGTGACTGGAACTACTCCAGCCAACCTTTGAGGTTGACGCTCATCCGTGGTGTCTGTGTACAAGACTACTGGATGGCGGTTAATGAGGAAAAGATTCACAGAATGCATTCCTGACTGGGTCAAATACATAAAGCGGTGATTGCAAAGCGGACGGCAGCTGGATGCAAAGCTATTTGCCTGTACTCCGGTTTCATATCTTCTGTGGCCAGCTTAATGGATGCAGGCTGTGCCGCGAGTGCCTCAAGCATGACCCCAATGTAATCGACCATTGTCACTGGTACCTTCCGCAACTGATGTGCCATTTGGTTCACGCCAGATGCGCTACGATCATCGATTCGACGATATCTGGTACCTTGCGCTAGGTCGAAACTTGGCATGACTTGCATGGACAACCGCGCCATATCTGGCGTGAGCTTGGTTCCGGCCTGACATGGAGGGCTCGAAGGAGGGAGACGTGTGCGCTTTCCTTGTTATAACGCGCATCCCTTCGAAGCACAGTGACCGGATGTCCGTATCCTCGATGCCCAAAAGGGTTTGCAACTCCTCCACGAGTCTGGGCCGTCCGCGCCGCCACTGCGCTGGCCAGCGCTTGATCGGCCACTAGCTCGGCTCCGAGCTTCTTGACCCTGGCCAGTTGCGCCAGCCTGAAGCAAATCAAGAACGCTGGATCTTTACTCAGGGCATGCAGACACTCCTGGTGATCCGCCTTGGGGTGTAGTCGTTGAAGAAGAGGGGGTTTCCAGCTCGCATGCGAACCGGCAGTGCGCCTTTTCGTCATTCGGCCCATTGGGTTGGAGCTGTGATCTCTTCCCAAAACCAGGCGGCTTGGCGGCTTCCGCTGCCTGCGCTTGAACCCACCGTAGCGCTAACCTGAAGTTTGCGCTTCGGCTCGCTAGGTGGGACGGTGACGGATATAGGTGGTGACTGCGATGTGGCCTGTTTGACTGGTAATGATGAGGAGACTTGTCTAGACTCTGCCAGTCCCGGGGGGCTTTACCGCGTCCTGAGTGACTGGGGGGGGGGAAACTCCCCCGTTCACTACCTCACCTAATTCCGCTTTGCAAAGCCCTCCGGGGTACTCCCCGTCTAGGCCGGTTGCAAAGGAAGTGACCGTTCCTTTCTCTGCCCTCGGTTCCTAAGAGAGGTGCGGTCTGCCAGTATGCATGCTAACCCGGCTGTTCTTACAGGTCAAATTTAAACTTATATCCGAATTGAGGGTGTTGTGGATGAGGGCTTGCACTTTTCTCCTCTCACACTCCTAAACATGCATGCATGATACTCCGTGGCCCACACTCCCCCCTCCGACTCCGACTCCTGCCAGGACGCCAAATCTCTGGCGATGGAGTTTCTCGGGAGCTCCATGGGCGAAGGGCTTTCCCGATCTTTCGGCCTTCAGGCAATTCAAAGCGGCCATATCGACCATACAAATATCGAGATCGAGTTTGCGCCTTTTGGAGACAGGAAGTTTGGCCACTACTCCGGGAATACGGCCGGGGGAAAACAAAATTTCTGAGAGGGACCGGGGAGACCCCTGGGGTTGGTCACTCATGAGCTTGGAAAAGGTGCAACAGTTTGGGGCGCAAAGCTGCAGACCGGAATCCTTAAGATCCGCTCCAACTGCCCAGCTTGCTGAAAAACATCCCTTCCCTTCAACAGATCCCAATCCCAGGGCTCTGCAACCGCTGGTCTTTTTCTCCTCTTTCTGAAGGTTCGCTGGCTTCAAAAATTCCATACCTCCCGGAGCACGGGCCGCGTGCGCTCCCGAGAGGAGCTATTCCTACTTCTTGGCATCCCTTCCTCCTTTTTCCTTCTTGTGCTCTTCTTCCTGCTTGCGCTTCTCACGAGCCCACTGCTTCTGCTCCTTCCGAAAGCCTGGAGGGATCTGGCAGCGCGGCTCGTGGCGCTTATGGCAGACGATGCACATCCGGAGTTTCGGAGGCTCGCCGGATCCGTCCTTGGTGGTCCTCTCCGGGGTCCTAGACCGCTTCGTGCCTTTCTTTGCTTCCCCAGCACTCTCGCTAGTCGATGGCCTCTCCTTCCCTTGATCAGGGTGGCCCTCCGGCTGCTGGCTAAGGAGCTTCCAGAGCGGCTCCGACTTGAACTCCCGGGTGTAATGGCTGAGACCGGCCTCTACCGATCCCTTCCCTTTCGCCACCCACTTCAGGATCTCGCCAAAGATCTCCCTGTCCGCACGACGTGCTTCGTTCATTGTGGGGTTTCGCATGCCCTCTGCGGTAACCCCTCGCAGGCTGGCTACGATTCTCTCCCCATAAGCTTTCATTACGTCGTACTTGCAGACGTCTAGGATGTGAAACGCCCTTGCTCTCAGTTCGAAGAGGTCCTGCAGGGCCACCAAGTTGTCCACCACGACCGTCTCTGGGAACTCGAAGTCCGTGTCCGTCATCTTCAGACTCTTGCCCTCGACCACCAGCTCCCGTTTGTCTTTCGGCAATTTGCCCGCACGCCTCAACCTCGACTCCACTTCCATTGAAACGTATGATTCCCAGCCCAAGTGCTGAAAGGTCCCATTCGGCAAGAAGGTCGCCTGCACCCTAGGGAGCGTGTGGAGCGAGGGACGTTCCCTGTCCGATGTGGCCTCGGGCATGCCGGTCTCCGCAGCCTTGTCTTCGAGCTCTTGAGCATGGGCCAGGGTGATTTTTGTCTTGCCTTCACCCTCCTCCCCTGCTAACCTCTCCAGCTGGCGCTTCGCCACCTGGGTGGAGAACCCCCAAAGCTTACGGAGGCAGCCCGTATCCGGCTCACATTTGTAGTCGTCCCATGCGAGGATCGTAGGCTTGTCGTAGACCATGATTTCGCCACTCTCGTCGCGATATGCCCCCTTCTTCCGCAGCACCTTCTTGAGGTAGTCCTCAAGATCTGCATTGGCTGGGAGGCGATAGGCCATGGCCTCGAATGTACTTATCTTATCCGCGGCCATAACCAAAAAGTCACTCTCATGAACCTCGAAGCTAACAGCAGCTCGTCCGAAGGCCAGAGCCGACTTTGCATCCGCCATTTCGGCGGTAACTCCCGGTCCGGGGGGTGCGGGTGTTTGATCCACTCATTGGGGCATCGACACATACGTCTACAATAGAGGTGTACCCATCACGTCCATACGAAAGGACATGGATCCCCAATGGAAACTCCAGCGTTGCATAAAAAATTCTGCGAACTGGGTTGCATGGCTACATGGTTTAAACAATCACACTGGCACCCGAATTTTGAGACGTGTCATATCGATCCGGTCAGATATCAAAATCTAGCACCTCCTCACTGTGCAGGGTGCATCTGTGCCTACTCGCTAGATTGAAGCCCGGCTCACTCGGATTCAGGTATCCTGGTACTTGGTCGCCTCTGCAACGCCGCCCGCAGCGCAAGACGCCCCGGTCATTATTCTTCAGCACAAAGTTGCACAGCAAGGGGCATGCGGATGACCTAGTTCTTCTTCCGAAACACTTGTTGCAGAGTTTATAGTCCACTCCCCAGCTGTGGTCCATCTGGAGTTCCGCGAAACCGGAACCCTGGCTCCCGCACCTCGGCAGACCCCTCTCTCGGTGAGAAGGTTTGTGAATCCTTCCCTCCCCAGAGGTTAGCTGCACGAAGGTGTGGTGCATCTCCAGGTCCGTCGCTGAGGGGTCGGCTTCACTGTCATCCGAATCCGGCCCCTGCTCGACTGCGTTGGGCGCAATCTCAATCCGCTCAACCGGGTGGTTCTTGTAGCACTGTGCCAGAAGCTCTCTCTCCTTCGCCAGGGTATCCTCCAGCTCCTCTAGGTCTGCCGCTCCAGTGTCGCGCAGCGCAGGTGGGAGGTCTGAAGCAGGGACCGCGCAGCTACCACCGATCTGGCGTTCTCCCTGTTGATCCTCCGTGCAAACGATGGCGCGTCTCATGGCTTCCGTCGCCCGTTCCGCCCCGCCGGACTTTGGCAACCTCTCCTCCTTGGCGAGGGTTTCAACTGTGGCCCAATCGGGCTGTTGCAGACTGTCGAACTCCTGGCTCTCCAGGGTTTGAATCACTGCTCCACGACGAATTTGATCTAGTACCTCGATCTGCGCCTTCAGAACCAGTATCTGAGACTCGTGGAGGTACAAGTCAGGCATAAGTTCCGCTGGATCCTTCCAAGCGCCCTGAAGCCTCACCGTCCTGGTGGTGACCTCGAAGTGGGTCATATAGGTAGGCATAGTGGCCTTGCAGCTATTCCACCTCAGGTGCAATGCTTGCTCCCTGGACATGATGCTCTGGTCCCCGGCGTCTATATCGGTCAAGAGGGCATGCTTCACCGTCCGGGTATCTTCGGAGATCAAAGACGGGTACAACTCCCATCCTTCCGACTTCCCGGTCGCCCTACCAATAAACGAATGAGTGCGCCAGTCGTGACCATGCATCACTAGGAGGAGCTCCACCCACCTGATCAGCCACCTGTCATTATCCGGATGCACTCCCAAGAGGCTTGCTGCCCAAGTCCTGGGGCCGGATTGGGTGTCTGCTGCTTTTGCACGAAGTCCCAACACCCCGGAACTACCAATCACCCGGCACCACTCAGCGTCACGCATTGCAGTTCCTGCCAGGTCCGAATGGCTAATACTGGATTGGGAGCAAAGGCGAAGCTTGCCACAGGCAATTCGGGTCTGGAGATCCCGATTGTCATCCAGCACCACTTTCTCCAACCAGCTCAGGAAACGGATGTCGAAGAAGGGTGTTGGTCTGAGTTCTGGCGCTTTGCCTGCGTAGTCGGTGCAGAGCCCACGGACACGGGGATGAGCGCAGCCCGGCGAATGGTACCCGAAGAGGCCTCCGAAGTAGTCAACCGCGTACAGGAAACTCAGTGGGGTGTAAAATCCCACATCTTCTTCCACCATGCCGACGACAAAGGCTTGAATGGCCTCGGGCCCCATGATCTTGGGTCCTGCGTCAGAAGGGGCTCCGTAACTAGACTCGTAGGCTTGGAGGTACCTTCCCAGGAGCCGAGCATACCTGAGAGCTGCGCCTGCCGATTTGGGGTCAGTGTACTTATGGAAGAGCTCATAGTCGATGATCCCCTCCCTCGAGCAGACTGTGTCGAGCAGGTCCATCTCGACCGCGTGGAGCACAAGTTCCTCAAAGAGGTTGGTTGCGAGCTTTCGGTACTCCTCAAGCTTAGCCTCTTCCAACGGTCGGCTCCTGCGGGGAGGGTCCAAAGGCACGCACGGCATCACACGAGAGGTTGTGGCCTCTGACTCTTGCGGTCGATCAGCCCTTTTGGAGAACTCCCCAAAAATCCCGGCTTCGTCCAACTCTCTGGTGACTCTGCCGGGATTCAACTCCGGCTCCGCCGCTGACGTCCCGGGCTCTTCGTCTAGCTCCTCCTCCACCCGCGGTTTCGGAGAAGGAGGGATGGGGGAAACTGCCTTCTTGGAAAATCTGAGAGGCGAGTGTGCCGGTCCCAACGCCCAGGTAGGAATATCCCGGGGTGAACGGTCGGATGACCACTGCGGCGTGGATGCCGCCGAGGATGAACCCTCTGAGACGGTGGGTGCCTTTATCTGCTTCTCCACCTTCTTCTCCATCGTCCGACTGGAGGGAACCATCCGGGATGTCTCCGGTGGTCTCTCCTCCGATTGGGACTTTGCTACAGGTCTTTCAGGACCTTCTGCCCCTCCTTGGAACTCCAAGGGTTGATCTCATTCGGACCCACTCCGGATTGCTTCCAGGATTTCGCTCGAAGGGATACCACTTTCAATCATACGCGCGATCTCCTCTCGGGCAGACCAGGCCCCGGCTGCGAAGAGCCCGCTCGTCTTGCCCAACTTGGTCCTGTCCCTTCTAGGAGAGGTTGCGTCGATCCTTTTCGTTCCTGGTCCTCTCCCTCGGCTACCGCTGCGACCACGGCCTCGAGGGTGGTCGATCGAGGTTGCCGGCCGTCCAGCGGGGGACTCATCCTGCGCCCAAAGAGGAACAGACATCTCCCCCC